AGCATTTTGTATATAGACGATCAGACCTGGCCTGAGGGCAGGCACAGGCAGACAGACCAATCCATGACCTATTCACGATCCTGCCAATCCAACAGTACCGAAGTATACGTAGTGGGGCCGACACGATCCCCATTACGCCGTCTCTCCCGATGAGATCATCCAGCTTGAAAATCTCATCCAACCTTCTATCGCTTTCTTCGCTCTGATCTGGTGGTAAGGAGCAAAGACGACACGAGCAGGTAAAGGCGAATTTTCGTCGAAGAGCCTCTTGGCGGGCTTTGCGGTTGTTGAGGACACCAAGGTAGTAAATTGTGATCTCCTCGCCCTTCTCGATATCTCGTAATGCGTGGATAGTGTGCCGTTGGATGTTCTCATTCCAGCTTTTCTGGGCATTGTTGTCGCAGGCATGATTGATGCGACACGCGTTAAGGAAAATACCCGCTTCCCTTACATCGTCCCCAAAAGGGAGGGCGTTCGTTCGACTGATTCCAAGGTACCGCGAGGCAGCATCGTCGGCATAAATGTTATGCATGGAGAGGAAGGCTTGTCGTTCGTCCGGGGTGAGTCCATCGACTTGCCTACGTATAGATGCTCGTAGGGTCTGATTGTCAGGCGCAGCTTCGGGCACTCTAATGATGGGCTTTTCAGAAAGGATGCGCGTCCCCATGAGGATCTTTTGTGCGGCGACGAGACCTTTGCCTCTGCCAAAGACCTCTTGAAGGGTGTACATTGAATCACTTGCCGAGCTCGACATTTTCGCATACTCTCCCTTCCGTTCAATTCCAAATTCTAGTTAAAATATTTGATTCGAAGGATGCTCCCCGTTTGAGAGGCCTCTGAGGGTATGGGCGATATGTGTCACCAGCCAACCATCAAGGCGGCCAACGCCTGCCTGGGAGAGGGAAGGTCGGGCGAACACCAGCACAGCACGAAGAAGACAGGCTGCGTCACGTGAAATGGAAACTCTTGGCAAAGAGGCAAGACAGGAGCCACATGGACAAGGGAGGATCCAGGGGATCCACAAGGAACGCCGGGAGAAACGCGACCTTAGTTGTCACGTGCTGACATTCGTGGCACTCTTTCCTCAGCCCAGAATAGCCGGAAGATATCCCGCAGTGCGTCACCGCGTCGGATTAACCTTTGCTTCGCACGACCTTGGATTCGAAGTATACTTTGAGCACATAGGCAATGAACCTCATACTTATTGCATCGACTCCACCAACACAGGCATTTTGCACCATCAGATTTTTCCTGTTAACCGTACCCTTTACTTGACTCCTTCTCCAAGACTGATTGCGATTCACCGTGCCATCGCACTTATTCTTCATTTATTTAAGTGCCGCGGGCGGGCATATTGACAACACTCTCAGGGATCTTGGTCAGGGGGATGTCTCGGTCGACGGATCAACGCCGCTAGGACATCTTACAGCCCTACGAATCCACGGTTGGTGGGATGGGCAGATTCGTGCTTTTTGAAAGTATTATACTGAAAGAGATCTGGAACACAGAGTCCAAAGGTGGGCGGGTCTTGCAAAAGGGAAGTTGCAACTGCAAACTACTGTACAGGCAATCTTTCAGATCTGACAAAAGGGTTGTCGATTTGCGGTTCTGGTGTACCTATGTCATAGGTTCTTCGTGACCGGGAGTATCGGCAATTCCATCCCGGTAGACCTCGAGACCTAGACGATCAGTGCATGAGCAAACCCGCTCGTTGAATGATTTCTCCTTCCGCTTTTCAGACTCAGACGATATTGTCTTTCCCTCCTTATTGGTGGCTGTAAAAGCTCAGAGTCATCGGTCGAATCCAGACTCGATGAGGCTCAGTTTCCACCGGTCACCATTGGGCCGCCATCTTCGCCCGTGCGACCAGATGATAGGGAACCATCATATTTGTAGAGAGGGTGTGCATGCACCCACGCGACAGCAGCACGGAATTGTGCCTCCGTCATATCTTCCACATCTGGCAGACCTCTCTGCGTCGGATAACCGGTCCATTCTTCAAGTTCAACTTCGTACTCGCTCCACCACCTTGTAGCAGCGTGTGCACAAATGGTGAGCACTTCTCTTAGCGACAAGAGCTCTTGGTAAGTAGTATCGTTGGTGAGACTGTCAGCTCTGATCTGCTCTAGCGACTTACGCATCTGCTGACGTTCCTTGCTCAGGCGCGACGATTCGTCGTGCTCTTGTGTCGAGAGACCACTCCTGCCCAAGAACGGCTGTAGGAGCATCCATGAACGAGCTTCATCGCTCTTCAAATCCCGGAACATTGCTGGATCGGAGAGATTGTTCAGCAGATATTCATCGACCTGTTGGTCGAGCGGATCACCTGCATTCCACATCAAATCGAGGCCGTTCCAGTCTAAATCACCTGTGCAGCGGACAACAGCAGTTCTGCAAGTGGTACATACATGCGAGTCTGTTGGGAAGTTGCAGCCCTGTTGCAGTTGCACACAGCGTTCACAGTCTTGCGCAAATCTGTCCAACACCAGATCTGCCAGCGCATGCGCCATGTCCTCCTTCTCTTGAAGCTTCTTCTGGATCGATTCACCAATGATATCGTATTTTTCCTTGTCATCTTCGACGTCTTTCGATTGAGACCTCCCCTGTTTTTGTAATTGTGAGAGAAAGAGTCTGTCTGCATCACTGCTCGCTTGATTTAAAGCGTGTTTGCGTTGCACAAATACTTCTTGCGTGCTCTTCAATTTGATTATTTTCTCGTTGAGGACGACTCAGAGGTGTTCAGCATCAGACTGTAATGTTCTCAGCTCTCTTGTCTTATCCATGAGTCCATCAAGGCTGATTGGCGGCCAACAGGTATGACCACTCTCGGTGCAGGCGACGCATCGATCCCAAGCATCGTAGGAACATTCCTTTTCTTGCGCAACGCATTGCTCACATGCTTTCATACTGTCAAATAATTGATAAGGCTGCTTGGAGAAGTCGAGCCTGCTTTTGGGAGTTCAAATGTCAATCATGGAATCCAGTCAAGCGACGTTGGCAGAGAGAGACACAATCGGGATCAAACACAAGATCATGTGATAACCTCCTTAAGAGAATGTGACTCAATGGAGGAACATGGTGAATTCTACTCGGTCCGGGGGGGACCGTCAGACTATATACCCTCGAGTAATTTACACAGGCCTACTAGCGCCGTCCGATGGCCTTCGGCCGAAGGCCCTCGGAGTAGCTTGAGCGCCTGAAACTTGTGCGGGGCCGTGATATGCCCCGCGATATGCCCCGCGATATGCCCCGCGATATGCATAGCAGCTCGCCGACCTGGGATTTTGACAAACGCATCTTACAGTATTAGATCCCCCGGATCCGGCAGAATCTGGACTCTGGAGGCGCAGTTGGAGTAGTCTTGAGGATTTCCTCGTTGTCAAAGAGACCGCCAGCGCCTGGACAAATGCCCTTGGTCTGCACGAGTTCCTGTCGAAGAATTGTGACAGAACAGTCTACCACAATACCCTGCGAGGGGCAGCCAATATTTCATCGGCTGGTGGCTTTCTCTCATTGCGCTCCTGAGGCAACGTACTGACATACTGTAGTATCTAAGACTCTAGGGCACGCATATCCTTCTCCCTCTTACTCCAAGGACAGATTTCAAAGCACCATCCCGATGTTCAATTTCCCTCCGTCAAATTACCCGCGAGACATAGCGCAGGCCAAATAACTTCGCAAAGGAGGTTGTCCTTATCAAGGATGGGCTACATTCCACCGGTGCATGCGTTCGTTTCATTCTACGAGCTTGATCCTTCATCGCGGCAGAATTGCATATATGTCCTCAGGAATGGGAATACATGTCGATGGCCTCGTAGCGAAAAACGAAACAATCTGGCAGCCACACTTCGAAACAAGATCGCAGCAACCCAATCTGCAGAAGTGAGCCTTGACCTTCTGCAAGAGTATATCAGGAGCAATTGTTGTATGGGAGGGAATGCCAAGCATCAAGAACGCATAGAGGATGTCAACCTATTGGAACCCCTTGCGCAACGATGGCTGGATGAGATCAATAGCCATGCTAAGCTGGCAGTCTTCCCACCTGCCGCAGCCACTGCAGCTCGAAAACCGGCACCCATATTCGACAGATCCTCCGTTATTCCCTCTCCCCAGCAATCGCGATTTTTCTCGAGCGCACCTTCACCTCAACCTAGATTTTCCACGCCTTCAGCCACTCCTTTATCGAAATATCATCAATCTGAAAGTCGGCCGCGCTATGGCCTTCGCAGTGGTGATGCCGATGGTTTAGTTTCTAGCTCGCATCGGTTATCGCTGACATCAAAACCCCCAATCTCAGAATTCCGTCCCCATGTTGCCAATCCACTGCCTGGCGATTCGGTTATTGGGAAAATCGTTGAACCACTTGTGGATCGAGACTTTGAGACAGGATCGCTCTATATCTTCAGCCGAGAATCTTCTCCAGGCTACGTCAAAATTGGCTGGACAGCACAGTCTATACAACAACGTCTTGATAAATGGGCAAATTGCGGATACACCCCCAATCTATTGTTCAGCCTACTCTCTGTCAAAAACGCTCGGCGAGTCGAAACTCTTACACACTTCGAACTAATCAAAGAATGGCGTCGCGAACGTCGATGCAAAGCCCCTCACTGCCTTAAGAGCCATCAAGAATGGTTTGAGATCAGCATAGAAAGGGCAGCCGCAACCCTCCAGAACTGGGCAGATTTTATGAACAGAGCTGATCCTTACGGTGCCGATGGAGTTTTGAAATCTAGGTGGAAGATCGTTGTGAAAATGATCGAAAAGAGGGACGGATCTGTCACGTCGCAGAAATTGTTGGAACGCTACGAGAAAATGCGGCCAAAGGTGGCGACTCCAACTACGGCGAAAACCAGCCTGGATCAAGCGTCAAAGATCAAGAAGGAAGAAGAAACACCAGTTCTCTTGGAACATATACATTTTGCAGAGCAAAAGACACCGTTGCGGCAAGACAACAGATCACCAAAAGACATCGAACAGGCAGTACTTTCCCCGGAGGACGACAAGCTCGAGAAGATTGAGCCAAATCCTACAAAAGAGTTATCACCCTATCCAGACCCTTTCAAGCAAGAGCTATTGCCAGAAGAAATACCATTACCAATTTCTCCAATCTTACCGCCATTGATTGACAGCGCCATCGACGCTGCTAACATTGATCTTGCTGCAATATCCGGCGCAGCAGAGACGTCTCAGCGTCCTTCCGAACGACTGGCCACAGATGTAGCTCGAGTCCTGATTCCGCTTACTTAGTATCAAAGTCAAATCTCCCGCAAACAAGCCTTGGTGTCCCCTTGATCCATCTTTGGGGTCTCCGCATTTGCAAGCGGCAACTACAGGGACACAAGCGAATGACGCGCGACTTTGTCGAAGCTGGCGTTTGAAGAGATACGGTGCTGAGCCATGTTTGGTTGCATTCTCACATTTGTTATCCTGCGCTAGATTCACAGAAAAGCACCATGTTAAGCTTGCCAAATACTCGGCCAGTGCTGAATAATGGTCGCTGGCGAGTCGATCCTAACGTAAACAATGTGATCACCCTTGCGAAACCCAGTAGAGCAAGTTCTGGTATTCCAGATCCAGAGATAACACCTCATCTCTAGGTCTATCCTGCATCGCGAAACAAGCCTCCAGGCGTGTCGGAGTCTCGGAGCCCATGAAGTTTAAGGTAGATGTCGATGAAGACGTCATGGGACTTGCCGGTGGCAAGAACAAACTTGGTGATGAATATGCAGCGAAATGCTTCTAAGTTCGTCTACATCGATTGCGATTACAGTACTATAGAAAGCACTCGATCGATTTGAAATCCATCGGCCTCGAAGTCCGCCGTCTATTTTCTCTTGCCTAGCCCTCAGATGACTTCCGCGAGATACTTTCACACGGTCTGACAGAGATGGAGATATTTCCTAGACGTCTAGGACATCAGGACCGCGCTCGGGACGCGATACGATTAAGGTCGGATTCGGTCGCTCGTAGAATGCTTGCGCTTTTGTGTTCGATTGATGCGTGCCGAGGGTAACATGCAGGATTCGATTTCTGCTTCGCCATGCGGAAAACATTACCCATCAGATCCTGTCTGTGACCGTGTCCACGGTGACTCTCTTCGACACAAAGCCACAATCTGGTTGTACGGTCAGCGTGGCTTCACTCGTCCCATGCAAAATTTGACTTACACGTGTAGCGATGGGATGTTGCCCTTTAAGACGACACAAAAGCCAATCAGCGTATCCCTATCGTGGATCTGGACCAGTTTATAAAAGTTGGCCAATTGTTCGTCAAGCCACTTTTGCGATGCTGTCAGTGGATCGACGGCGGTCTTGAATTCGTCGCGCACAATTGCGGTACTGTAAAACTTCTGGGGATATTCAGCCTGCAGTTCCGTCGTAAAATGAGGAGTTAATCCTGATTTCGTGCTCGACTGACGCGCTGATGTGTCGGAGGCATGCTCCGCCGCAGACGCATTCTTTCAATCTGTCTCCTTTTCAGCTTGGCTTAGGGCAGAGCTGCCCGAGCTTCGACTCGATATATGGTCCAAAGGTATTCCTTGCGCCACCTCATGGCGGGCTCAGACCACCTGTTCTCGTAGAGTCCATTGATAAACAACAAACAAGCATCAATTCCACCTGAAACAGGGGGCTAATGGGATGCTGCGAGGATCGATGGTAGCGCGCGGCTCACGTCCTTTGCGTAGATGGCGTGCCGCGGTGTCGGCAAGCTGTGGAAGTGGCAGTGTGTGATGCGTCTGAAAGGTATTTTCTGAGCTACGAGTGGTGTTGGTAGTGATAGCATGATTCGATATGGGACCTTCCAAAAGTGTATTTTCCGTGTGATCGACCATCTCTTCCCCCGTCAACTCCGCCTCTTCACCGTGTACACTTCAGCTTCCGATACCGTAAACTATGTTGGGTGTTTCGGGAGGTTCGGAAGGTGATTTTCGACGTGTCGACGCGTCGTTGATGAAGGAGATGGAGGAGATGGATGTGTCTGAGGATATGTTCTGTGTTGCGCGTAATGAGGAGTGTTCTGTGTTGTGCGTGATCGCAGTGATGTCGTGTTGATTATATGCCTCTTATTGATTCCGCCTCTTCATCGTGTTTCTTCACGCTCTGACACCGTAAACTTCGGTCGGGCAAGAAAACGGGGGACCAGAGTCCGTTTTCCATCGTGGGCGTACATGAAAGGGAGGTCATTCCCTTCCAGTGTACTGGTACTGCATGTTGGGTGTTTCGTGAGGTGCAGAGGGTGATTTTCGGGACTTTGATGCGTCGTTCATGAGAGCATCACCGCGTTGTTGAGCCCCCCCCCCCC